AGGTAGTCCTATTTAAAAGATCATATAACTACTTACAATATCGATTGTTTCAAAATCATTCTCTGTATGGTTAAACATTGTATAAATATTATGGAGACCTAGAAATGAAGCCAGCTTTCGTAGAGCAATTTCTTTTCGTGCTGCGTTTCTTTTCATTATATACATTTCAGATTAAATATCGTTTGCAAGTATATTTCAATCTTTGTTTACTGATTTATCTGACGGGTGAATACAAGGAGAAAGAGTGATATCTGTACGTAATATATCATGCAGTTTTATTGCAAAACAAAGAGACAGAGAGAGAGTGAGTGTATTCAGTTACATCTTTGACACGACGGATAGCACCATTGTTTGAAATGCATCTAGAAGATTCTAGGCTAAGAAAATATTACTATTTGAATTTTATTTAATAGTTTATCTTTTATTTCAAAAGTAGAAAATAAATAAACGTTTTTAATTTAACTTAATTTAATTTATAGTAGTAGAACTGCTCTTACATTTCTCTATCTCACTAACATATTTTATAAAACGAAAAAATATTTAAATAAATTTATTTATATTAGATATATGAACTCATTTATAATTATTTTTCGTAGAATTCTTTCTTCATTACATTTATTCCATAGCTCATTTATTTATTTAATCAATGGTTTCTTTATAAATATATTTTTATTTTAAATGATAAATCAAACATATTATTAATAGATGCAGTGATAATTTAACATATTTTAAAATTTAATAATTCATCTTATAATTTTTAGTTGAACTGTACAATACTTAAATAATAATAATAGTATTGATGTTATAATTATAACTCATTTTAGCAAATGTAGTGATATTGTACTTTATAAATACTTATATAATTGTCTTCGTCTATCAAATAATGTAGAGCAAATTGATTTGTTACATAATATTTTATTATAAAAAAATTATTCTTAGACAAGTTTTCTATTAGTCTAATAGTTGATATATTTTTTGTTATATTTTTTTTAGTTAATTACATCGAATAGAACATGTTAAATTCAATATAATCATAGAAGTTTTCTTTTTTATCAATAAACTATACATAATTAAGTATTTATTTTTCATACTCGAAATTAATATTTAATCTAAAAATTAGTTCTTATAAAATTATAAATCAAGTGATTTTGCTATAATCAAATATACACAACTATAACTTGATGCAATAATGAAAAATAAAACCAGACAAAAGCAAGTATAATGACCTTCAGTCTATTTAGTCATTCATAGTCAATATTTATATGACTTATTTGTATACATTATCATGCCAATCATTAAATAAAAAACGTGAATAAATCATATATAAAAAAAAGAAAGAAAAAATGTTTTGTTGTCCCTGATGAGTTGCATTTCAACGATTTTTTATACTTACTGTTCGTAAAGTTAATTCAAACAACAAACAATTCACATTTTATACTAGTTCATATTTGTAGTTATAAGAATTAGAAAATACTAATAAACATAGATGTGAATATAATACATATTTTGTTAAAAAAAATTTATTCTAGTCAAAAAAACAAAAATCATATAAAATAGAATATAAATTATACCGATCAAAACTTATCAATATTTGTTAATTTCATTTGTCAATAACTAAGAAATAAAATCGAAAAAGAAATATAAGATTTGTTTTCGAAAGATATTATTCACTTTTGATATTGAATAAGGATGCCTGTTATGAATAAAAGTATCGAAAAAGATATGAATGCATTTATATAATTTGTAGACATTTGAATATGATTCATTGAGAACATGTACCTGTATTTTTTTTGTCATATATTATAATTAAACGTAATATGTTATTTGATTGGACCGAAAAATATTTTTATCATTTACTCGATTGCAAAATATAGTTAAATAACGAATTATTCAAGATTAATCGATCATTTAATGATGAACTTAGTCAGAATGAAAAATTTGAAGATACTGAATGAGCGATAATTAAGAAAATGAAAAACAGTTAGATTAATTTTCAACTATTACTTTCAGATTCAATATATGAGATGATACCATGAAAGTAATTCATACCAACTCAAATAATAAAATTTAGATAAAACTCTTCTGTTTTTCTCATCTTTTATGTTATTCACAAATATTTTTTTTATCGATATCAAAATAAAGATTATTACAATTTTGTTTACCATCTTCGAGATGAATGCATCACTAAACTTAATGACAAAAAAAAGGTGTACATGTCTTGATGTAAAGAAGAAAAACAGGACTAATCACCTTCATTTTTTTTTTGCGTTGAGCTTGTCTCCTTTGATTACAAAAACTACCACATGGACAAAATCAAATGAAGAAAAAGTCTGATATGCTTCAGTGATTTATGAAATATTTTTCTAATAGTGTACACCAACGGATACAATCTTTCTCTCTTTATTCTCAAAGTATTTTAATGTGACAAAAAAGATAAAAACTAGCAAAAAAATGTGTGGGTGATGGTTTAGAAAAAAACAAACGACACTAATAGTATAAATACATGAAATTATTTTAGTCAAACAAGACGAAAAGAGGTGCTATTCTATTAACCAAAATAATACTATACATTGCTATTCAAGATGCAAGTCCAAGTTAGAACAATAAATGTTATTTGTGCAGTATTATTAGTCTTAGCTGGTTTTCTCATCGACAATAAAGTTGATGCTCGAGCAATCAAAAGAAGATCATCTGATGTTAGCGCGGAAGAGTATAAACGTGCTCTAGTTGATGCTTTGGCTCATGCACTTGTTAAGTCACATGAACGTAAACGTGGTAACTCTGGTGCATTTAATTCATTGAAAGCAAACAGACGAGATGACCAGGAGATATGGACTGAACACTATGCTGGTGAAAGTGGTGAAAGTAGTCCATCAGGGGCTGCATCAGGCTCATCCGGTGATAGTAGCGCATCAGACGCTGGACTCGATTCATGGTTGGGATCATTCCCATCAGGCAATGTCGATTCGGATGTATGGACTGAATCAGGCACATGGGGTGATAGTAGCGCATCAGGGGCTGGATCAGGCTCATCAAACAATGGCGATCAAGATGTATGGACTGAAGGACGATCACGAAACGGAAACAGACGAGAAGAACCAGAGTGGACTGAAACAGACACATCAGGTGTTGCCGCTCCATGGACTGAAACAGACTTATCAGATGCTTTTGATCCCAATATGTGGTATGAAGTAGCATCACGAGCAGCAAAACAAACAGCAGGAACAGGAAAAACAATGTTAAGCGCAAAAACATAAACAAAAACAGGAAATGGAAAAAATACAAAACAAACATCGGTAAAAACTAAACAGACAGGAACAAAACATCATTAATCATTTGAAATATAACAGACTTTAGGACAAACTTTAGTTTTTTACTCACTATCAACTCAAATTCTATTCAATTATTCTTATTCATTTCATTTTCATATCTAACTAATCATTATTATATCAACACATACTAGTATTCTACAAGTTCTTTTTCTTTTGTGTATTCGTTATTCTTCTACTAATATAATAAATCAATACTTACAAAAAAACATTTTATTATATCTATTTTATTGTTTGTATATTTATTATTTTATCCGAATAAATTCTTTTCAGTAGTATTCATTTCTAGTTTTTTACACTCATTCAATAGTTCTTATATGTTTTGTGTATGATGTAATGAAGTTATGATGTTAAGTTTGAGAACGATGCATAATTGTTAGTAGTTTATTAGATTCTTCTGGAAACGAAAATAGAAATAGGACATTTGTGAAACTAATGTTATTATTGATATTTACATGAACAATAAATAAATACAAAAACCTTGTATGATAACTAAAATAGTTCATTGTTGAGAATTTTGAAATGATATAAAAGAATGATTTTGATACAGTCCTAAGACAAATCAATGTAATTCTATAATCTCAATTATTTTGTCTTTATTTTAGTCAATATCCTAAACTACTGTCCGTCGATAATAAACTTCTTACAAATTTTATTATGAGAATCGAGTGAGACATTCAATAACTTTATAGAATTATAAATTTTAGATTTTTCCCATGTAATTAATCCTTAAACTGATAAATTTCTTTGCTCAACTACATATATAAAAGATTAAACATATTATATCTCGAATGCTTCATATATATAGTGGTTTTGTTCCATATTTTTCTAATACCAAGGGTTTTTAATTCTATCAAAGTCTTAATAGTTTATATAAATACGAATCATATAACTACTTATTCATGTCACGTTGTTCTTCCAATAAAAGAAAAATGTACTTAGATTTTTGAAGTAAGCCAACTTATTTTATATTCACAAATCATTCTTAAAACTATATACTTATTTTAGTTTAGATATTTCAAATACATTATGTCGATTTTCTTGTGTTAATTTTCGAGCAATCTATTAGGTGGAACTAGATCTTGTTTATTCTATATGCTATACTTTATCCCAGTCAAATTAAAACTAATCTAGTATAATTATCTGTTTACATAAGAAAATATGAAATGAATTTACTGTGACTAAATATATATTTTAATGGAATAAAGCTAATGCTATTTTTATATAATGATATCTAATTTTGTATCATACTACATTAAAGTGAGTTACAAAATTCTTGTACTATTTTGATAAAATAAGTCTAGAAGAAAAAGTTTCCAGTTTGAGGAATAATAAATTTTCTTGACTGTCGCTATTAAATCGGGCAAGGTATGAGAGCTTCTTAGAAAATATTGTTTAAGCTTTTGATCAAATAGCTTTGATATTGAACACTTGATTGAATTTTTTCAAATTATTTTAAGATAATGAAGAACCATTTATAATCCAGACTTAGCGAACGAAACAATATGGATTGTTTTAAATCAATATGAAGTCTCAAAATGATGTGAATTTTGAGTTTGAAAGTTTCAATATTCAAGTGTCAGCATGTTTCGACTAAAGTTCATTTTTTTTAAAATCTATGATGAGTATAAATATTGTTCTATGAAACAATCGATTAATATTTATCATTAGACGCGAATCAAATTGTCTTAAACACTAGAATAAAGTATTAAATTCTATTTTTTTTGCAATATTAATCCATCAAACTTGTTTCTAAATTGGTATTTGGTGAAAAAATAAGCTCGTATCATTTAATAATTGATTACCACAAGCTTCAGGACAATAGTGAAACCGGTCAATCTTACTTAATTTTCATATGAAACCATTCAAAGCTTTCATTAAGTCTTACGAGTGCTTGATAGAGAATACGAAACCATACATTAGTAAAATATATATCAATTACACTATTGATAATCAAAATAGGTATTATTTTTTAAAAATTCAAATCATCCCGGGCATGAAACATATTTCATAATCTTTCGATTACAAATTGATCTTGACTCTATAGATCTTCTGAGCAAATTTATCAACGTATTTATTGATACGAACAACTACAAGTGGAATATATAAAACAATCATATTGAATTATTTATTATTATCAGTTTCTTTCTATTGTCTTTCATTTTTTTGTAAAATACTCTTAGAAATACAGTTTTGCTATAATATATAGAACACTTGCTTCTATATGATTATTCTAGTATAAAGACTAAGCTATTTATTCGTTTGTTGATTTGAATAGAGGAATTTTTCAGCTACAAAATAAAATACATTACTTTTTATTTATGAATTATTATAAAGATCAGTTAATCTAAATTCATAAATATAGTTAACATATTTAGAACGAGTTTGATCGGTGATATCATATTTGACTCTATACGGATACTAATTGGATTATATGAGACATGTACTTATTTGGCAGTAAATTAGAAACAGATGATAGACTAAGAAAAGAGGTTAGAAAAACATGTATATATTACAGAGAAATATTTTTAGCAAAAATCGCTTCGTTGTACTTAAGATCGTTGCTAACTAAACGATGTTTATTAGCGACACGTTTATTGTAAGCAAAAGAACGTTTCTAAGGAAAAAAAATTGAAATTTCAAAATATTCACGTGGCAAACAAAACTTCATTTCTTTTCATATATATGATTAAGTAAATCATGATAAACCTCTTAATTTTATCCGTAATAAAAATACCAACTTAAAAATGATTCATTGAATTTAATTACATCATTTAACAATAAAAAGTTAACACATCCTTGAGCAATATCTATGATTCGTATCAACAGGAATAAATTCGTTATAATGTTTATCTCACATGACTCAATTTGCGAATTTTTTTCACAATCTGACTTTCATCACGAGTATACATGAGTAATTATTTTACAAAAAGAAAAGACGTTATTAACAACGTATCGTGGTCCCTTGTGTTTCTTAGATATTGGTCACATATAAAAGAACCAATCAAAATATGATACGTGCCCTCTCTCATGAAGCGATTGATAATTTATTAATGAATAAAATAAAAAAGATTTTTGAATACATTCATTTAAATTACTTGAAAAGAAAATTATTTTGAAAAAAAATCAATTATAAATTAATCAGCTGACTTAACCAATGTATAAATATTTCTGTCACACGCTCTCAACAACAATAATATATACACTCATTCTGTCTTTATTCTTTACCTTCTAGATCGTTTTCATTTCATATATATATATTACATTTTACTCTAGATAAATATTTTTTAGTTTATTTCAAATGTCAAAACCATTTGTAAGATTTAATCTTTAATTTTACTCGATTAGACTTTTTTTTGTAATAATAATAATCAGGTTCTTCGTGTCCAAGCATCTGAAGGTACAAAACGAATTGATCTTAATTCTCAAGATACTTTTAGAAGAATCTATGAAAAAGTAAATTCATTTTGTATAATTATTTAATTTTATCGATTTTGTTTTTGCTATTTAGGTTGCAGAAGTCTTTTCATTACCATCCGTTGATGGTTTTACATTGTATAAAGAAAAAAATAAACAATCACCATTACCTCGAATGCAAAATAAAAATAATTTTAAACATGGTGATATGATTTATTTAGTTGCTGAACATGAAAATTTATTTCCAACAACAGAAACAACTTCATCACCACATGTTGCACTTGATTTTAAAGCTGATACACCAACAAATGGAAGTAGTTATGCATCACCAAGACTTGGATCATTTCAACCACATAGTACTGGAAAAATGAATATTAATTCAGATTTAAAAGAAGATGATGTTGATGTACAATTAGATAAATTAGATGGAAGAATACCAAGACAACGTGATCCACAATTGTATGATAAATATCGAATTAATATTTTATTTTATTTTATTGTTACCTAGATGTCATCATAATATCCATGGAAAATGTATACATTGTATACCAATTGAACCATATGATGAAGAATTTTTAAAAAATCGTAATCCACCAATTAAACATATGTCATTTAGAGCGTATATTAGAAAATTACAAAGTTCATCACATAGTGATAGGTAAATAGAATTGTTAATTAACCATACATATATATATATATATATTTTGTATTTTTTTAGAAATACATTTGCCAGTCTAGAGAATATCAGTTGTTCGATTAAAGAGAAATGTTCTACAGGTCATGCACCTTGGCCAAAAGGTAAATATTCATTTAAGATTACAAAAATATTTGCTAAGATACATTATTCTAGGTGTTTGTACAAAGTGTCAACCTAATCCAGTTACTCTTATGCGTCAGGTAAGAATCGAATATATTCTTAGTAAACAGTCATACATTTATTGTATACTTATAAACAAGTATCATATTTCATTTCTGTTGTTATCTTCGTTTGAAAGCTAATAGAAATGATTTATTTCATCGAACAAATCAATTAATTCATATTTTTTTTTCGAGAGAGTATTCAAACGTTTTGTAACACGTACATTTAAATATACATCTATTAAGCATGCGATAAAGTTGAATATTAAAGTAAATTTTCGGTTCTGTTGCATGTCTATTTTTGGATAAAGAACTTCTGACTAAAGATAAGACACGTGGTGTAGTTTGACTGTTATTTTTACCCTCTGATATATTAAACCACTTCGAGCGATGATCCAGAAGACATCCTGTTTTCTTAAGATAATCAGTTTCCCAAAAATGAATACCGGAAATGAGATAAACTTATTTTCTATGAAACTTTCAATATCGTCTAGTAAATGAGAGATTTAAGATTGAAAAATGTTTTAATTTGTTCTTTTTTTGCAGCCTTATCGTCACGTAGACAATATAATGTTTGAGAATGGAAATATGGTAAACCGTTTTTTAAATTATTGGCGTTCATCAGGTCATCAACGTATTGGTTTTCTTTATGGTCGTTATGAAGTATACGATGGTGTACCACTTGGTGTTCGTGCAGTTGTTTCTGCTATTTATGAACCACCACAAGTTTGCATTTCAAACTAAAAAAACATCGAAAATTAATTCATTTTTTTTGATTATATAGGAAACATCAAGAGATGGTGTAAAATTAAATCTTCCTGATCCTCATGAAGCACTAATTGATGATTTAGCACGTCGTCTTAATATTCGTCGTATTGGATGGATTTTTACTGATCTTGTACCAGATGAAAGTAAATCCGGTGGTGGTCCAGTTCTTCATCATCGTGGCAATGTGGTATGCTAGAAGAGAAATTAAAAAACACCAAAGATTTATTCTATTTTTTTTTGCAATAGAATTCATATTTTCTAAGTGCACAAGAATGTATAATGGCTGCTTGGTTTCAAAATAATCATCCAAATATATGCAAATATTCTCCTGACGGTTATTTTGGTTCAAAATTTGTTACTGTTGTTGTTACCGGTGATGTATCAGGTCAAATTCATTTTGAAGGTTATCAAGTATCAAATCAATGCATGGCTTTAGTTAAATCAAAAATTTTAATTCCAACATATGATGCACCGGAATTAGGTTTTATTAGAGAAACAAGTTCAGAACAATATGTTCCAGATGTTTATTATAAAGTAAGAAAAAGAAAACAAAAAATTATTGAAATGAAATGTTTTCATTGTAGGAAAAAGATACATATAATAATGAAGTTATGAAAATAGCCCGTCCATTACCACTTGAATATCTTATTATTGATGTTCCAACAGGTTTTCCTTCGGCTGATGCACAAATACAATCAACATTTAATGATGATTGTACAACTGTAAAAACACCATTCTGTGTAGAAAATCGAATGCAAGTTGGAGAATTACAAGTAATAATCTTACTTTTGTTTTTTTATCAACAAGATTTTATTTGAATAGGATATGAATGCCTTAGCATCATATTTAAAACAATTCTCAAAAACAGGTGCTGCTGGTGTAACAACATCAAGTGCTAATCAATATAAAGCAACAGATATTTTAGCTGATATTCATTTATTAAGATATTTAGCTGTTAATGATATTATATCATTTTCAATGGTAAGACTTTTCTTCGTTTAATTATTAAACTATAGCTGATCAACATTTCTTGATTTTCTGTTACAGCCTTATTGAAGGTTGAAGAAAAAAAATGATGTTCAGAAGTATAGTAATAGTTCGTTTATTTTCGCTTCTATAATACAAAAAATATTTATGTAATATCCCTTTGTTCATCGCTTGAAAATAACATATTTCGATAGAGGTTAAGAGAACAGAAGAAAAACAAATTAAGATAACGAAAGGTAAAATACCACGAGGTTATACATATGACTAATATAGCGAACGAATATTTTATTTGATTGACTATTTATGATAAGAAATGTATCGAAGAAAATAAATTATTTAGTTCTGAATACATCTAAGATCTATGAATGAAAAATTTTATATTTAATTAGGATCAACTCGATCCATTGCTTGATTCTATACGTACGAATGATTTTAATGGTGTTGAAACGTGGATGGAAGGTTCTGATTGGCAAACAATAGTTCAAGTTCTACAAACACAAAGTATGAATATAAATTATTAATTTATTTTTTTTTGTTAATTTTTTTTCTTTCTTCCTTTTTTAGCTCCTAGTTCACCATCGGCAGGAAATCGTCCATCTTATATGGATTATGAAGATCAAAATGATCTATCATCATCATTATCACAATGGAATTGTCCACGATGTACTTTTATTAATGCTGGATCATCTCGGACATGTGAGATATGTTCATGTGAGAAAGGTTCTTAGTCTAATTCTTTGATTCTCTTATGAAATGTTTTTTTCTTTTTCATCTTAATTTATTTCTATCTCATATATTGAAGCCAGCAGAATAAAAAAATGTTAATCTAGATAAAACGAAAAAAAAAAAAATTTTAATTCAAATTTTGTTGTTTTCTATTCCAGATTGATATGTTTTACTAAAAAAACAAAAATTATTTTTTCTTAAAAAGACAATTGAGGATATAAACTATGAGTGCACTAGCTAACCGGCCTAGTAGTGGAGCAATGGGTGGAATTGCTGGAAGCAGCACTGATGGTTCAATAGATAATAATGTTCTTTCACAATATAAAGTATTGACATTAACATTTAATCAAGATTGCACGTAAGTTTATCATGAAAAATTATAAAAATGTAATTCTAATTCTTTTTTTTTATTAGATCATTAGCAATGGGTACACGAAAAACTTACGCTTTATTTACTATTAGTCAAGATAATAAGATCGATGAAATATATGATTGTGGTAAGTATAATAAATCAATAAAACTCACATAAATTGTGATATCTCAAAGAGAAGATTTCGGTTAACTTTAATAAGAATTTAACGCTATATTATACTTAGGCATGTAGCGAACCCGAACTTTCGGGGTAGTTTGAACCGAACTCTAGCAATTTAAGCATCGAAATGATTTTTCTGACATGTGTGGAAGTATAATAAAGAAAATTCTGAAACATCAGCCGAACCCGAACCCTAAAACCAAATCCGAATTCGAACTCGAACTCGAACTGTTCGGTTACATGCCTAAGTATACTAGGTTCTGAACTTATGATAAAAGTGAACCGATTGTTTTAGAAAACAATATTTATCGGAGATTTGAGTAAAAGGCGAGTTTTTCTTATAATAATATCTTGACATTTAAATTCTAGCATCTTATATATTGATCAGTCGAGAAAATATGTAATAGATAATAGTTTTTAATGTTGTTATAACATAATACATTTACAAAATATTTTAATTGCGTACATGTATTGATGATACACACTAGATTAGTAGTATAGAACAATCCTTCTAAACCGCAATGTAAATCTGTGTAGCTCAAGACGAAAAAAGAACAGTCTGACTCTTCGTTTCATTGTTCTCATTAAACTTACTATTTATTCTGTTTAGCTTATGATGACGTGTGTATAATTGAACGTTTATTTTCAAGTTCATTAACAGCACTTGTTAGTAATCAAGCACCACGTAAATTAAAAGTTTGTCATTTTAAAAAAGGAACAGAAATATGTTCATATTCATTTGCTAATACAATTCTTGCTGTTAAACTAAATCGATTGGTAAAATAATATTATATAATTTGTTTTTTTTGTATAATTAAAAAGTAAAATTTTTATTTTCTTTTGATTATTTTAGAGACTTATTGTCTGTTTGGAAGAGAGTATATATATTCATAATATGCGCGATATGAAAGTTTTACATACTATTCGAGATGTACCATCGAATCGTGAAGGTCTTTGTGCATTATCATCAAATAGTGACAATTCTTATTTAGCCTATCCGGGTAGTTCAATAACTGGTGAAATACAAGTTTTCGATACATTAAGTCTAGTATGTAGATGAAATTTTCACTCATACATTATATAGATTTCATTTCATTTTTTTGACAATATAGAAACCAGGTATTATGATTAGTGCTCATGAAAGTCCACTGGCTGCAATGGCTTTTGATATGAGTGGAACAAAATTAGCAACAGCATCAAATAAAGTATTATAATATTTTAGTAAATAATGATTTTATATTTTTTATGAATTTAATTAAGGGAACGGTTATTCGTGTTCATAGTGCTGTTGATGGTACACGACTTTTTGAATTTCGTCGAGGAGTTCGACGGTATGTAAACGATTTATTTATACTGTATTATATATCGATGATAGATTCTATATTACTTCAATCTATTGATTAGAGAATTGAAAACGATGCGTTTAAAGAATTCATTATAAAAGTACTATTTGCAGTTTTTTTTCCATTTAGTAATTCATAGCAGACGTTATATAGAGGGTGTCAGATCTAATAAGAAGTAGTACATATAAACTTAAATGTATTAATCTATTCAATCTTCAATAATCATAGTGCCTTAATCCTTTAATTTGAATATATCTTTAGAAAAGAAAGATTAGCCCGTTTAGCATAACTCTAAACAAAGAATTATGCAAAATAAAAGTTATCATACTTAGAACCTTTATTTATATCAAATATTAGTTCGTATTCAACAGATTATTAATAATTTTTCTTTATTTATTTTAGAGTTGCTACAATATATTCATTAGCATTTAGTCCTGATTCAGTATTTTTAGCAGCATCAAGTAATACCGAAACGATTCATATATTTCGTTTGGCTAATCCTAAAGAAAAGTAATTATTTTCTTAATCTATTTTTTAATTATTTCATAATTTATATCTTATAAAAAGAGCACCTGAAGAAGCAACATGGATGGGTTATTTTGGTCGTAAATTAAGTGATGTTGCACATTATTTACCTAAACAAACATCTGAAGTATTAACACAAGATCGTTCATTTGCATTTGTACACTTACAATCACCCGGCATGAAAACAACAATATCTATGAATGTGTAAATATATTTTATTGATTAATTAAAACAAAAGAATTCATATCTATTTATTTCTTTTTTAAAGTTTAAATAAAACATTAAAATTATTTGTTGCCGGTTATGATGGTGTTGTTTGTGTTTATGAAGTCAACACAATTGATGGTGGTGAATGTAAACAAATTAGTCAATATCTTTTATTCAGTATGTCTCCTAATTCAACTAATCAACAAGCAATAACAACAAATGAAGCAAGAAATTCTACTGGTAAATATAAATTTTATATTTCCATATATATACGTATATCAATAAATTTAGATGGACCTACAAAAATATATTCAGCTAATGTAATCGCAAATGATAATACATCTGTTCCATTATCATCAACACCACCACCAACAAGTCCAACATCAGGAAAAAATCATGTTCATCAATCATCAAATATTTCTATTGATGAACAAAATTTTCCCCGATTACCATCACCACCGCAAGGTGTTTACGATTAGTTTATCCATTCATCTAAACTACTAGTATAGTGTACAGAGGTGCCTGTGTGTGTTTTATATTTATTCTTTTTTGTCTATATATACATATATATATATATATGAGGAATAAGAAAAATCCTATGAAGAAAGAATATGTATGTATATTTAACTTGTCTGGTCATTCGTCAGTATTATTTTCAGCGTTTTTTCTTTTTCTCTCATTCAAACTACTCATTCTCTATTTGTAATTTTCTTTATATATATATATATCGAATGGCTATTGTACATATTATATATATATATGATGTTCATTGTCGTATCCTTCTTCTTTTTTTTCTTTTTGACACTATGCCCTGTTTCATTTCTTTTTTTTTTGTTAGGGCATTTTTTTCCCTTGCATTGTACAGAACCGACAATTGGATAAAGAAAGAAAAGGTTTTTTTTATTGATATTGATTAATTATATTGTTTGAATGAGTGGGAAAACAGGAAAAAGTAAATTAGGAAGTATCTAGAACACTAAGCTATAATTTCGAAGAATTGCTATTGAATTTTATATTAATTGTTATTTTTAATGATATATCTGAAGAGGTAATTAACCATTCTTCGCTCGTTGCAAAAAACATTTTAATTGTCGCAAAAGAAAATACGTCAATATTTACATTCACAAGTCAAAAAGGTATTGGCCTTCTATAGAGTATCTAGTTATAAACTGGTTCGTGTTTTTTTACACTCCGACGTTATTTTTGTTATTGTCGTGTTAATATTTTTATTGCTTATTTCTACGCATGATTACAGAATCAAATCTTAAGGCTCGATTTTCAATTTCTTCCTTATTTTATGCTTCATTGCATAAAAATAACTTTGATAAACAGTTGACTCTATCAGTAAACATCAATAGCGTAGAAATCGATTAGTAGAATGACATGAAAATTATTGACTTGATGATTGATGGCACATAGAATTAATCTACAGACAAAGTATCAACATTCTAACATCTGATTAAAGACTTAGACGTCAAGACATCTTTTGTCAATGATTACATTTATCAAAGTTTCCAAAAATAGAAAACAATATTGGAATAGTTTTATCCTATCTAACAACATCAAAAATTCTAGTTAATCCAATACTTTAGATAATAGATGATAGCACATACAATCATTTATTTACTAAAATGATGTTTGTCCTACATTATAAGTAATCGCTTTTACTGAATAATCTTGAAACTTTATACTTTATTGTTTTTTTTCAATTAAAAAATAATCCGTGGTAAATCAGCACCTGTTTCAAATGTTGCCCATTTTTCACGTGGTATATCTTTAAATACTGTTTCAAGTCGTTGTTGTCCATCAATATCATCTGGATATTTTCGAATAAAAATTTTTGCAATACGATCAGGATATTGAGCATAAATACCAGCATAGATGTCTGAATCTTTTTGAAAAATATCACCAAGTAAAACAAATTTACGATTACGTGTATTTTGTAAGAACATTTCTAATGTTTCCGTTTTCTTTTTCGCATAATTTGACGACATAAAAAATGAAATGAAATTAACATCAAACCAAGTAAAATGTCTCATATGTGCTGAACCAGATGGAAATTGTTCACGATCAAAAAATTCTCTTAAAAATGGATAAAGTTGATCGGGTGATGCTGTTAAATAAGCAAATGTTGCGTTATATTGATTTTGCCAATATCGATAAATTTCAGCCATTCCTGGTACTGGTTTAAAATCACCACTAAATGTATTAATAAGTGTTTGTGTTGATGATGTTACACCAGTTATTTTGACTGTATCATCAATATCACTTATGAATGTCATACCATTGTCATCACATAAAAATATTTCACCTGTTGTTTTAATAGTTTTCTTTGGTACTGATGCTTGAAATAAAACTTTACCACCGGCACCACCTGGTTGACGAAATAATTCAATTTCTTGATTTGTCATTGTAAAAGTATTTTTAATACGTCCTTCATCATCAGTTACAGTACACATCGATCGAGCAAGACCATCAATACATAAATTTTTCTTCTCTTTACCTTCTGCAGTAAACATTTTAACACGATTTCGATCTAAATCTTTTTGAACAACAAGTTCTAAAGATTTTTCCATCATTAATGCTTTGATCGGACTTTCTTCATAATACCATCCTTGATTGTATAAAGTCCAATCAGATGGTGATGAACGATCTCGAAAAGCTACTGATGGTACGAGAAAAAGTCCATCTTTACTGAATATAAAAGCATTTATTGTTGTTGAAATAACAATAAAAATACAAGAGGTAAAAAGAGTATGTGCCATAATCGACGAATACTGATGGTATAATCATCTTTTACTCTAGGTATTTATTCATGATATCATGTCACATGATGCTTACTAATCCTTCAATATTAGTTTTTTTATTGTTCTGATAAAATAAATGAAAAAGAAATATAGGTTTTTGATTAAATCATATCATTTTACAGGTAAATATTTATTTTAAAAATCAAGTCACCTGAGTGCTGTGTGACGTTTGACGAATAAAGAATTAGAAAATATAAATAGAACAAATCAAGTGGGTTACTTAATTTATTTTTTTTTAATGTACAAAAAAACAAAAGAGAATTCTAAAAGTATAATTATAATCATTCATGACATAGATGAACGGCCCAAAGGAAATAAACCACATTCATTCATAGATTCAATATATCATATTAAACGGAAATCATGTCCTTCAGGAAATGCAGTTTTCTCTTATCAAGAATCACTTGATATGTCAAGTATGCTATATAAACAAAATAATGTGCATTCTCTTATGTTTTAACCATGAAATTTTAGCACATATATGCCTTTTATCATATCTTCTCTTCCATAACGGATAACAACATGAATTAGTATCGATATAAGTTGTGCATAATCTCCTCCACTACCACCATATTCATATAATATTGTTCCTTGTTGTGATTGTCCATTCCATGGTAAATGACTTGAAGCTATTGGTGATGGATCACTACCATCTAAAGAACCATACATTGATGGAAATGTTCGACCATTATTTAATGTTGCTGTACTTGATGAACATGGACCAGCAAAAAGTGTAACAACCATATTTGATTCAAATATAGGATCATTTCTTGTTAATTGTCGTTGTAGTTCAAATGTAACTGTGTAGATATGTTTTTTTAATATTCGAGTACAATTAATATATTTCATTAATATACGATGATCAAATTGATGAATATCAATGTTAACATTTTTGATGAAACATGGTACAATTTTCTTCTTCTCACAACTTATGACATGTAGATACGCAAAATAAAACGCCACAAGCGTTGTCACATGTAACGAAAACATGTACAAAATGTGCTCGAGCGTGTGATAATTGTGTACAATGAAACCATGAGGGTAGTTCTTTTACTTGTCCTCTTTCAATATAAATATATTCAATAGAACGAACGAACGAATGAATGTGCTCAAATCAGCAAACGTAATGTATGAGTATGGGTAACGGCGTCCACTTATTTTGACGTTGACACATACAATTCTACATTTCGTCCGTCCTCTTCTTTTTTTTGCATGTACGCACGTTCTCCCACTCATTCGTTTAATACACAAACCTCTTATTTCGAATCATGTTATGTGCAGGACAGTCAACAAGCGACTTTTTTGCATCAATAGAAGGAAGAAAAAGACAGAGAAGAAGAAGAAAAACATTTTCATTCATTTACTCTTTTTTTTCTTTATTAGGCGGTTGTTCTGCACCGCTGCTACTATGGCGTTTTGCTCATTCAGGCGGAGAACGTCTTCATCGGTATATTTCTTGAGTGCTTTTCTTTATATTAACATATACTAGAGGAAGACACATCGGACGTTAATAGAATACACAATGTATAGGACTTCTATACTATGACCGCATTAAATATGAAAAATTTAGTTATATATTTATGTTTTAACATAAAAAACAGCAGTTTCTTTCCTTTCTTCTTTTCCTATGCTTCTCCTCTTTTTTTTTTTTATGTGACAAACACATCGCGATTCAGAATGCAAGTATCATCGCACAATCGATTAACTTGCACATGCAGAATTTTTTTGGAGTATTTTGCTTCACTGACTATATAATGATTAGAATGTTAATGTCTATCAGGATTTTGTCTATTGAGATTCTACACTAAGTAAAACATAGAAGAAAAGAAAATATTGTTTTCTATTGTATTACGATGTTTTTTGATAGTTATTAAAGTCACCCATCGATGCGAATCGAATATATGTATATATATTTATTAACGAAAAACATTATTTGTGTTTTTCTTTTCTTTCTACTTGCTTTTTTTTAGCTGCAACATGTATGAAGAGTACGTAAAAAAAATATTTTTTTTATACATATAAAAATACATCCGTAGTAACGAGCATTTGGTTTTTTACTAATGTCATTTTTTTATTGTTGATGTATGATTACAGACAGAAGAATACACTTTTTTTCTTCTTCTTCTTCTTCGTCGTCTGTTCCCTATTGTTTCATTATGGTTTTGCGGTACTCCATGTTTTTATTGCGTATAGAAAGTAAATAGACGAAAAAAGAAAGCGCGGGAGAGAGAGAGAGAGAGCGAGCGAATGAGACATATTGCACATGTGCTTCTCGACATTGTCGGAGTGTCTATGCTATCGAGAAGAGAAGAGAAGAGAGGAGAAGAGAAGAGAAAGAGAAAGAGAAAGCTATTTTGGCCTATATGCTCGTTTCATCTATAATTCATGCTTGATTATTCACTCCTCGCGTATGCAGCTTCTAGCACCCTTTTGCTAGTTAACTTGCTTTATTCTGAATTGCTTTATATTAGTCTGTTTGACAAAAACCTTTCGTTCTCTTTCCAGCTCACAGATTTTGCAATTAGTTGACAATATTATTACTAAATATGATCTCGCACACTCGTTCTTTGTCTTCCGGTAAAGTATGATTATTAAGATAGTAGTATTATCAAGTCAATCCTAATGTTTTTAGTGTGTGTACTGGAATGTAAAATTATAATAGTCACATATTCTACATTTGTTGATATACATATATTTATTTAATAAAGAATAAGAAAAATTTTTTTTTTTGGAAAAATTTCTCATGAGAATACATAGTACACCTTGACGTGACGATTCTGGAATCAATCACGTATATATTTTTACAACGTGATATTTACTTTTAATAATTGATTTTTAATAGAGACAGAGAAGAGAGTAGGATAATATTATGTTATGTATATATAGCTCAGTTTCAATCACTGTCACTAATGCAATAAAATCTTGTTTAATGAGCCTTCCGTTTGCCGGTGAATCTCGTTTCCCGACATAGTTTTTAGAAGTAGCACACGCACACACACATATAAAACGCAAAAAGTGCACACACATAAAAAAAAAAAAAAGAAGAAAAAGAAAAAGAAAAGTGAAGAGTCGTTGTTGTCGACAGCGACACCGATGAGAAGTAGAAGATGTGAAATTTAACAGCTAACGTCAACGAAACAGACTCGTTCTATGTCTGTCAGCTTGTCTTTTTGAATCATTACGCCTTCTATATATGATCGCACTAGAAGCAGTATTCTACCTCTTCGACTCTTATTACTTTAGTAGGAAAAAACTGAGATTTTAATAGGAAAAGAAAGGATGTTGTTAATGGACTAATAGGGTTTCAGCATGCAAGGTATTTTAATTAGCTAAAATTTGTTTTCTATCATCATTTTTGATTTTTACGAGAAGAAAAAAGAAATTCAGATTTCATCTTTCTTTTTTTTCTTTTGTAGAGTGTGTGTATAGATTTTGACAAAAAAGAAAGATTAGAGGAGAAAAAAAGAAGAGAGAAAAAAAAAACGACCTACTACGAGCTTGGCGTGGTTTTAACGCGTTTTCTTCATTTGACTGGCATGTGAACATTGCATACAAACTACAAAAATGTCTACTGAACTCGCTAACTTAACTGATACTTTCAGTTGCCAAAAATTCAGATGTTCTGGTCGTGGTATTTTATTACCATTTGGTAAGTAATTATTGTTTTTTTATAATTATATTTAATCTGACTATTTTTATTTTTTCTGCTAAAATAGGTATTGAAGCATGTATGTCAATACCATTACGAGCCACGCTTTATTTTATATTTTTACTCTATCTTTTCCTTGGCATTGCTATTATTGCTGATATATTTATGTCATCTATTGAAACAATAACATCAAAAAGACGAAAAATACGTTATCCAAGTCCGGGTGAAAAAGATAAATTTATAACTGTTGAAGTTCATTTATGGAATGATACAGTTGCTAATTTAACATTAATGGCACTTGGTTCAAGCGCACCCGAAATTCTTTTATCAATTATTGAAGTTGTTGGTAATCGTTTTGAAGCAGGAGAACTTGGTCCTGGAACTAGTAAGATACAAATTATTATTTCATTCTTTTTTTCTTCTTCTTCGTCTTCTACTTTTTTCTTTTCTCATTCATAATAGGATCATCTTTCTTATAAATGTAAAAATGTCATTAAAACATATACATATATATATATATATATATATTCATAGGAAGAGAGACTTTTCGGATAGATTAACAGATGTTAAGGTCATGATATTATAATTTGTCCTTTCAACTCCATTTACTTTTTATTATGTATTGACATAAAAAAAGCCTTTTATAAATATTATTTGCTTTGTTACTTTTCAACATCTTGAAAAAAAGAGGTCTACATCAAACATATATATATATATGGCAAAAATCCAGATCGATTATCATTAATTGTTTTCTAGTCTATATAGTTTAATTATGAGAAAAAAAATTGTATCTAACAAAAAAAAACGACATAATAGAAATAGTAATGTGTATGGTAGACATATGGTTTTTTTATTTGGTTTATAAACAATGTTATTATTTTAGTTGTTGGTTCTGCTGCTTACAATCTTTTAATGATTTCTGCCTTATGTATAGCATCAATTAAAGCTCCTGAAACACGAAAAGTCAAATTATATAGCGTTTTTATGGTATAATTTCTTTTTTTTCTTTTAATATGATAGTATATATATAAATGATGAGTATTTGTATAGATCACATCGTTTTTTGGTTTCTTTGCTTATATATGGATGTTCATAGTTTTATCGGTTATATCAAAAGATGTTGTTGATCTTTGGGAAGCTGTTATTACATTTCTTATGTTTCCACTGGTTGTCATATTAGCTTTTCTGGTAAATGAATACATATAACAAAATGAAGAAAAAAGATAAGCAACTTACTTTCTTTCTTTGTGTATCATTAGGCTGAAAAGAACTTTTATGCTTCAAGCAAAATTGACATGGAAGAAGAGGAACAAACACTCATATTAAGTAAGTATTTTTGGTCAATATTTAATTAAAACTGATTATATGTATATGGTATATATTTCTATATATAGCACCACCTGAGCTTGATCAATCTGGTGCTGTACGTGGTTTTCGTAAAGATGAACTTCTTCAATTTTTACGTGTAAGTTAATGAGTTTTTTTCTTCTTCTATATGAAGAAATCAAACAAATGAATAAATTATTTTTTTTTCAACATAAATAGGATCTCGGTCAATCAACAAATTTATCAATGGAAGATAAGGCACAATTATTTTCTGCTAAATTAAGTGAAAGTATGCCTCGATCACGTATGCAATATCGTATTCAAGGCGCAAGAATGCTTACCGGTGGTAAATCTTTATTTGTCAATCTACCCGACAAACTTCAAGAGGTTTGTATAATATAAATACAAAAAAAAAGAATTCCTTTATGTACTCTTCTCCTATATTTTATTCACTTGAATAAAATTATTATTATTGTTATTGTTATTATTATATCTATGTAAATAACAATACAGATACATGACGAAATGCTGAAAATTAAACCAGACGAAACAGGACATCGATCATTATCACCTGAAATATTACATGAAACTGATCATACACCAAGACTCGAATTTGGAGCTGCAGCATATGCTATTCTTGAAAGCGATCAACTAGTTGATATTATTATTCGACGATTTGGTCCGGCTGATGTTGATGTTCGATTCAGGTGTCTCTATTCGCTCGCTCATTTATTGATGCATGTCTATGCTATGATACAATACAACACAGCATCTTAGATTATATATATATCTATACTTCTGCATATATATATATACATAGATGACTTCTTTCACTCAATATTTTCTTCTTCTTCTTCACTGATTCAATAATTTTTACTAATAGTCTACTGAAATTAAGCTTAGCATGATTCGTTTAGATATATCAACGAGCCGTCAAACCACAGTCATCGGATGGGACTTTGCCACTTGACCATCAGATTGGTGGTCGAAAGGGAACTTTATCGAAAATAGACTTTGATGATGACCCACATATGGTTATTCTTGAGTTTGCTTCATCCAGTTATGCTGTACTTGAACAGGAGCAGCGTGTAACTGTCGAAGTCGTCAGACACGGTGATACTAATTCTGTTATTCAGTTTCGGTAGGTCTCATCAATGGTCATTGTGTTTTAAGTGTTTTATTTTGTTATTAAACATCTTTTTCAAAATTCCAAAAGCCCTTTATATGCGACATTGATTTTTTTATCCCCCCCCCAAAAAAACCCAAGTTATAGCGCACGCTTATGAAAATCTACGTGTGATTACGCTAAACACTTGCTTGCTTGCTTGTAATTCTCTTCATCACTTGCATTTAAATGAATAGAAGCACGATTTTATATCAACAAAAATTATCACATGCATGTTTAATAATTTATATTGAATAATAAAACTTAATATAAAAAAATCTAATATTTTTCTAGGCTTGATACGATTGATGGAACAGCAACAGCTGGTGAAGATTATATAAAATTATCTGAAGAATTTAGAATGGAACGTGGTCAACAAGAAAAGAAAATAACTATTCATATTATTGATGATAATCAATGGGAACCAGATGAAACATTTTTTGTTAAATTATCATTACCTGAAGGTGAAGAAAATCGCACAAAATTAGGTTCAAAAACAGTTGCACTTGTAACAATTATTAATGATGATGGTAACTAATTTTCACTAATGAAAAGAAATATATATATTTTTATTTTGTAGATCCGGGTTATATTGAATTCGAAGAAACAATTAATTTAGTAAAAGAAAGTGTTGGAAAAGCAGAACTTAAAGTTGCGCGTGTCAATGGTGCTGATGGAAAAGTTTCAGTACATTATCGAACGAAAGATATTGATGCTGTCGGAACAAAAGATTATGAGCGTAAGTCAACCAAAAAAATATGAAAGCTAACCATTGTTGAATAGTTGATATAAAATTAAGATGTTCGACAAAAATCAAAATAGGAAATAAATTGATTTATTCTAGCACGTAGATCATACCGAACTATGGGTGAGCTATAATTGAAATTTTGACCGTCCCATATTTTTTATCATACCCGTAAAATAGAATAATATCACATCTTAGAATTTATTTTTTTTTGAATTAGACTGAAATTGATATAGACATAAATATCTTTCTTTCTTTTAGCTGCTGATAATGAATTAGTATTTGAACATGGTGAAATATCAAAAATAATTTCAATACCAATTATGAATGATCTTGAAGCAGAAAAAGATGAAAGTTTTTCTGTTGAACTATATAATCCAACAGGTGGTGCACAAATAGGAAAACATGCAAAAACAGTTGTCACAATTATCAATGATGATGGTATATTTTTTATTTAGAAAACAAAAACTAATTTATTATTATTATTTCGTTTTTTCGCTTCATCTATTTAGATTATAAAACAATGGCAAATAAAATGGCATCACTTGTTCAAGTTGATTTGGATAAATTAAGTGTAACAAAAACATCGTGGGGAGAACAATTTCAAAATGCTATGAATGTCAATGGTGGTGATTTAGAAACAGCAAAATTTGGTCATTATATTGCTCATACACTTGCATTTTTTTGGAAAGTTCTTTTTGCCTTTGTACCTCCAACATCAATGGCTGGTGGTTGGTTAACATTTTTTGTTTCACTTTTTTTTATTGCTGTTCTTACGGCAATTGTTGGTGATGTAGCTGCTATATTTGGTTGTCTTGTTGGATTAAAGGATAGTATAACAGCCATTTCATTTGTTGCACTTGGTACATCATTACCTGATACATTTGCATCTATGATTGCAGCAAAAAATTCGAAATCAGCTGATGATGCTATTGGTAATATAACAGGATCTAATAGTGTTAATGTATTTCTTGGTCTTGGACTTCCTTGGCTTGTTGCTGCTATTTATTGGGAATCGAAAGTATGAATAAATTCAATTATTAAAAAAAATCTCATATTTCTGTATTTTAGAACCTTCCATTTACAGTTAAAGCGGGCGATCTATCATTCAGTGTGCTTGTCTTTTCTGTTTGTTGTGTTCTTGGTATGAGTGTACTTATTATGCGTCGATTTGTAGGCTTTTTTGGTAAAGCTGAATTAGGTAAAAGAAAAAAAGGTTAAGAATTTAATTGATTAACTTTATTTTTATTTCAAGGTGGACCGACAATACCGAAATATTTATGTTCAGGATTTTTCGTTCTTCTCTGGATTGGTTATTTAGTACTGTCAAGTCTTCAAGCATATGGATATATTAAATGGTCAAGTTAAGAAACTGAAAAAAAACCTAAAACTAGTGAAAAACATTCTTAGAAATTATTTTGTTCTTCTTGTTTTATTCTTTTTCATAATTACACTCATTTTGCATTGCATTGCGCATCTGTGATTATATATACACACAACAAATGAAAGAAATTAATAAGATTTTGTTTTTGTTTATGCGATCAATAATGATAAAATAGTTTAGAAAAAAAAATGATCTATTCTTTTCTTTCTTTTTGTTTTTGAAATTTATTTTATTAAGAAAAATACTTAGTTAAGAAATGGAAAAAAAAGTTTCAAATTAGTTAGCTTTATTTGTTCTTTAAATGTGAACTCAGGATTGTATCGTGGTCTTATTTTCTAAAAAAAAAAGAAGATTCTTCTCAATTATTTTAATTCATGATCATTTTTAATTTTATGAAACAATATCAAGTGATTGTGTTTTCCTATTTTATATATATACATGTGTGTGTGTGTATATATATTATCATGTCTTTATTTATCCTTTAATGTGTGTCTATTCAATCCTTTTTCGTTTTCTTTTTTTTTTTTTTATTCATTTCACATGTCTGGTTTTTAACAACAAAGAATAGTCGTGACATTATTTATAAAAATAAATTACATAAAAATTATCTTTGCTTAATTAAATAATAACAAAAATGGAAAATAAATGATACAATTTATATATACGAGGTTTATTTTTGTGTATTGTGTACATAAAACTTCCTAATGGTTTAACAACTGTGTCCTATGAATTTAATTGTTATTGAATTTAAATATGTGTACTTTCAATAAAATACTAGATAAAGATAAAGCAGCAGTAAGTGTACTCGAATAAAGACAAAATAGTTGACAGTATAACGCTGACTTCTGTAAGTATTATCTCAAAATCATGCTTTTATTTCATTCCAAAGTTTTCAACCATGAATTACTTTAGTCATTATACACATTTTGTTATTTATTTGTTGTTCATGTAAATATCAATAACAACATTAGTTTCACAAATATCCTATTTCTATTTTCATTTCCAAAAGAATTTAATAAACTACTAACAATTATGCATGATTCTCAGATTCAACATCATAACTTCAAGCACAAAGCATATAAGAACTATTGAATGAGTGAAAAAAAGACTAGAAATGAATACTACCGAAAAGAATTTATTTGGATAAAATAGATATACTAAAATGTTTTTTTTTTCAAGTATTGATTGATTATATTAGTAGAAGAATAACGAATACACAAAAGAAAAAGAACTTGTAGAATACTAGTATGAGTTGATATAATAATGATTAGTTAAATATGAAAATGAAATGAATAAGAATAATTGAATAGAGATTGAGTTGATAGTGAGTAAAAAACTAAAGTTTGTACTAAAGTCTGTTATATTTCAAATGATTAATGATGTTTTGTTTCTGTCTGTTTAGTTTTTACCGATGTTTGTTTTGTTTTTCCTACTATTTGTTTTGTTCCAGTTATTGCTTTTGTTTTTGTCACTGATTGTTTTGTTTCTGTTGTTGCTTTTGTTTTTGTCACTGTTTGTTTTCCTTTACCTGTTGCTCGTTTTACTGCTCGTGATGCTACTGCATACCGTAAATTGGGACCAACAGCATTTGATGTGTCTTTTCCAGTCCACATTGGTGCTTCTCGTCTGCTATATGACTTACCAGGTGCATGAGCCAAAGCATCAATTAGAGCACGTTTATGCACTTCAGCGTTAACATCAGATGATCTTTTTTCGATTGCTCGAGCATCAACTTTATTGTCGATGAGAAAACCAGCGAAGACCAATAATACTGCACAAATAACATTTATTGTTCTAACTTGGACTTGCATCTTGGATGAAACCGTATAATATTATAATGATAAATACAATAGCACTTCTTTTCGTCTTGTTTGACTAAAATGACTTCATGTATTTATACTATCATTGTCGTTTGCTTTTTTCTAAACCCTCCCCCACACATTTTTTTATTATTTTTTATCTTTTTTGTCACATAAAAATACTTTGAGAGTAGGGAGAGAGAGAGAGAGAGAACGACTGTATCTTTGCGTAGTTTCATATAATCAAAACAAATCCGTTACTATACACTACTAGGAAAATATCTCATAAATCACTGAAGCATATCAGACTTTTTCTTCATTTGATTTTGCGTATGTAATAGTCTTTGCAATTAAAGGTGACAAGACTGATGCACAAAATAAAACAAAGGTCATTAGTCCTAGTTTTTCTTCGTACATCAAGACATGTACACCTTTTTTTGTCCTTAAATCTAGTGATGTACTCATCTCGAGGATTGTAAACAAAATTGTAATAATCTTTATTTTGATATCGACAGAAAAAATATTTATGAATAACATAAAAGATGAGAAAAACAGAAGAGTATTATCTAAATTTTATTATTTGAGTTGATATGAATCACTTTCATAATATCATCTCATATTTTGCATCTGAAAGTGATAGTTGAAAATGAATCTAACTGTTTATTATTTTCTTGATTATCGTTCATTCAATATCTACAGTATTTCATTCTGACTAAGTTTACCATCAAATGATACAGTACATTTAATTGTAATATATGACGAAAGAAAATACATGTATAGATTCTCAATTAGTCCTATTGAAATGTTTATAGTTTACATAAATTAGTTAATATCTTTTCTGATACTTTTATTCTTAAATTTGGTAGGAATACATATTCATAATAGACATTCTCATTCAATATCAAAGTAAGCAATATCTTTGAAAGACCAATATTATATGTCGTTTAAGATTTTACGCCAAAACAATTCATTTTACTGTTTCGTTGATTTTATTTCTTAGTTATTGACAAATGAAATTTACAAATGTTGATAACATCAAACAAAAGATACAAATTATATTTGATAACATTAGATCGGTATTAATTACATTCTATTTTACATGTGAACTATGAAGACCATGATAGAATTAAAAACCCTTGGTATTAGAAAAATATAGAACAAAACAACTATGTATATGAAACATTCGAGATATAATGTGTTTAATTTTTAAAATATGTAGTTGGGCGAAGAAAATGATGAATTTAAAAGTGAACTGCATAAGAAGAGTCTAAAATTTATAATTTTATAATTTTATTGAATATCTCACTCGATTCTCATGATAAGATTATGTCAGAAACTTATTATCAATGGAAAGTAGTTTAGAATATTGATTAAAGCAAAGATAAAATAATTGCCATTATAGAATTGCACTGACTTGTTTTAGTATTATATCAAAATCATTCTTTTATTTCATTCCAAAGTTCTCAACAATGAATTATTTTACTCATCATACACATTTTGTTATTTATTTGTTGTTTATATAAATATCAATAATAACATTAGTGTCACAAATGTTCTATTTCTATTTTCATTTCCAGAAGAATCTAATAAACTACTAACAATTATGCATGATTCTCAGATTCAACATCATAACTTCATTACTTCATACACAAAATATATGAGAACTATCGAATGAGTGAAAAAAAGACTAGAAATGAATACTACTGAAAAGAATTTATTTGGATAAAATAGATATAATAAAATGTTTTTTTGTAAGTACTGATTTATTATATTAGTAGAAGAATAACGAATACAGAAAGGAAAAAGAACTTGTAGAATACTAGTATGAATTGATATAATAATGATTAGTTAGATATGAAAATGAAATGAATAAGAATAATTGAATAGAATTTGAGTTGATAGTGAGTAAAAAATGAAAGTTTGTACTAAAGTCTGTTATATTTCAAATGATTAATGTTGTTTTTTTCCTGTCTGTTTAGTTTTTACCGATGTTTGTTTTGTATTTTTTCCATTTCCTGTTTCTGTTTTTGTTTTTGTCACTGTTTTTCCTTTTCCTGCTGTTTGTTTTGCTGCTCGTGATGCTACTTCACTCCATACATCTTGATCGCCATTGTTTGATGAGCCTGATCCAGCCCCTGATGCGCTACTATCACCCCATGTGCCTGATTCAGTCCATACATCCGGATCGGCATTGCCTGATAGGAATGATGCCAACCATGAATCGAATCCAGCGTCTGTTGCGCTACTATCACCGGATGAGCCTGATGCAGCCCCTGATGGACTACTTTCACCACTTTCACCAGCATAGTGTTCAGTCCATACCTCTTGGTCATCTCGTCTGTTTGCTTTCAATGAATCAAATGCACCAGAGTTACCACGTTTACGTTCATGTGACTTAACAAGTGCATGAGCCAAAGCATCAACTAGAGCACGTTTATACTCTTCAGCGCTAACATCAGATGATCTTTTTTTGATTGCTCGAGCATCAACTTTATTGTCGATGAGAAAACCAGCTAAGACTAATAATACTGCACAAATAACATTTATTGTTCTAACTTGGACTTGCATCGTGGATAGCAATGTATAGTATTATTTTGGTAAATAAAACGGTACGTTTTTATGTCTTGTTTGAATGTGATTTCAAGATACTTTTATACTATCACGTTCGCACTTTTGTTTTTGCTTTTTTTATTTCTCTCTTATAGATTTTACGGTAATGATTTCTTTTTCTTTCAATTAAACTCACCAAAAAAATAATAAGAGAATAATTATATTTCTATATCGTCCAATACAATGTGAAAGAAAACCCGATATTTTTTATTAGAAAAATAAATTTTATAAATCATTGGAGCATATCGAAGGTCGTTTTATTTTACTTTCTATGATCAATCACATTTAAGACAAAGTCGATAGAATCGAAATAAAAAACAAGAAAAAAGTGAGTAGGTTTATTTTTTCATATCATAAAAATATTCGTCCTGATGTTATCGATTGTACTTATATATTTAAAAATAGAATGACAAAATATTGACTATTAGTATCTTTCTATTTCATACATCAGTTTGAATTATATTAGTAGATATTTGTTAATACTATAGAGAGACGGTAGAAGCACAAAAACTTACTGGTGGAATCCATTAATTCTACTACTGTAAACTCTCATAAAAACATACTTGTTCATGGTAATAAATTACCCATCAATCTTGAATGACTTGTCATCTTATTATATTATCTAGTCGAGTAAATCATAAAAATATTTTTTGGTCCAGTCAAATAAGATATTACATTTGATGGTAATATATGACAAAAGAAAGCACACGTGTATATTCTCAACTAATCTTATTTTAATGTTTATAACTTATACAAGTTTAATAATCTCTCTTTCGATACGTTTGTTCTTAAATTTGGTAGAAATATATATTCATAAGAGACTTCCTTATTCAATATCAAAGGTTAGCAATATTTTTCAAGAACAAATACTATATATTTCTTTTGCGATTTTATACCATAATAATTCATTTTACTGTTTTATTGATTTTATTTCTTAGTTATTGACAAATAGACTTTATAAATATTGATAACATCAAACAAAAGATACAAATTATATTTGATAACGTTAGATCGATATGAATTATATTCTATTTTACATGTAAACTATTATGACTTTGATAGAATTAAAAACCCTTGGTATTAGAAAAATATAGAACAAAACCACTATATATATGAAACATTCGAGATAAATTGTGTTTAATCTTTTAAATATGTAGTTGAGCAAAGAAATTTATCAGTTTAAGAATGAATTGCATGAGGAGAGTCTAAAATTTATAATTTTATAAAGTTATTGAATACCTCACTCGATTCTCATAATAAGATTATGTAAGAAACTTATTATTAATGAAGAGTAGTTTAGGATATTGATTAAAGCAAAGACAAAATAGTTGACATTATACCGCTGACTTCTGTAAGTATTATGTCAAAATCATGCTTTTATATCATTCCAAAGTTCTCAACAATGAATTATTTTACTCATCATACACATTTTGTTATTTATTTGCTGTTCATGTAAATATCAAGAACAACATTAGTTTCACAAATATTCTATTTCTATTTTCATTTCCAGAAGAATTTAATAAACTACTAACAATTATGCATCGTTCTCAGACTCAACATCATAACTTTATTACTTCAAGTACAAAACATATAAGAACTATTGAATGAGTGAAAAAAAGACTAGAAATGAATACTACCGAAAAGAATTTATTTGGATAAAATAGATATAATAAAATGTTTTTTTTTTCAAGTATTGATTTATTATATTAGCAGAAGAATAACGAATACAGAAAGGAAAAAGAAGTTGTAGAATACTAGTATGAGTTGATATAATAATGATTAGTTAGATATGAAAATGAAATGAATAAGAACAATTGAATAGAGTTTGAGCTGATAGTGAGTAAAGAACTAAAGTTTGTACTAAAGTCTGTTATATTTCAAATGATTAATGATGATTTGTTCCTCTTGAGTGTTTTTTTTGTAGCTGTTGCTTTTTTTGTTTTCGATTTCTTGTTAATTGTTTTGCTGTTCGTGATGCTACTTCGGTCCATAAATTGGGATCGGGAATATCCAATGTGCCTGGTGCAGCACC